GATGCTAAATGTCACATATCATTATTTAATAAAAACTAGATTAAATTTTTAGGTCTTGGTATTTTATGACAAGTGATAATTATCATCACATGGTTTCGTCTAACAACTATAGACTAAGATTATCTCTTTTGAATTATACAATATCAAATGAATTTTTGTATAATATAAACTGCTTTTTAAAATTTTAAATTGTATTGTAATCATGTATTGTAGATATTATTGTTTATTTAATAAAGATCAATTATAATTGTAATGTGATTTAATATATTAACGTATTATTCATGAAAATTATTATAGCTATAGAATTTATACCTTTTAAATTATTAGACGAATAAGGATCTAGAACCTTCGTCTCTTAAAAGATTTGAAATTCTTCAGTTGAGAAGAAATCACATTATTAATTAAAAAATTACTTAGATATTTTCGCATAATTTGAATTCCTACTGTCATATTTGATTTTTAATTTTTAATGCAGCTCAACTAGAATCTCTAGCTAAATTTTAACTTGAAGCTAATTTCATCATATTACTGTATTTGCTTTTGTAATAAATTTATATTTAATTAAGTATAATTAAAATAATAAATGATTTTATCAATAAATAGATCAGTTATAAATGATTTTGGCTGGTATTCTAAAAGATCAACAATGTTTTTTGTGATGGATTTTTCTAATAAACACCGCTCATGCTCTGAAGTGTTATAGTATATTTTTTTTGATATTTTTAACTTAATAATTCGATTTCTTTCTATGTTTACTCTTCATCTGTAAATATCCAAAAATTGGTTTACATGATTTATAGTGATTGAACAGTCGCAAATGTATTCCATTATATCGTTAGGTTTATGTTGTTTTCTTATACACATAATAAATGTATGATATGGTTTGTATTCGACTAAATAACTTTCATTACTATTAAATAGTTGAATGTTTGCATTGATGATAGCCTTTCTGATATCTTCCCTGTGTTCAATAGAAAATGATTCATACATTGAATTGATTATTTCAATTTTCTTAATATCATATCTTGACAAAAAATCGATTTCTTTATATAATTTTTTCAATTCTTCCATGAATAAATCATCTCTATTACAATTGCACGAATCATATTTTGTGAAAAGTTGATGTACGTAGACAATTAATGAAATGATAAAAATTATAAAAAGTTTTTTCATGTTATTATTTCTTGGTTGTCTTTCCCATACGACGATTTGCCGTATATGTTCTCTCTGATTGGTCATAGTTTTTTGTGATTTGAAAAGTTTTGATTCTTCAACAACGAACAGAGCCCCTATTTATTCATTTGGAATTATATACTTATTACAATGCTATTAGCTAAGAATAACCATTCGATCAAAAGACTATATAAACCCAAATGGTGACGCATAAATTTCATTTCTTTGTGTTAGTAATATCATTCTGAATTTCACATTTATGATTAATTAACCTTAACTTTCTTGTGTAGAATTCTAAATTAATCTATTATTTTATGCGAAAAGCTATTTATTTAAAATTCTATTTGTAGAAGTTATATAGTTTTGTAAGCAAAATTTTTACACGCATTACAAATTATTGTATAACATATTCTTTTTGTCCGAATGGTTATTTTAAAATTCTTTTTTGCTTTATAAAGTCATATTTAATGATTAATTAAAACAAAGAAAATTTGGACAAAATTCTTGCTTGTTATAATTAAAGTTCTTTGCTGGTACGCATTAAATATCTTAAAATATTAGTATTTAATATAAAGAAAGAGAACATAAATAAGCATAATTGTCGGAGTTTTGGAAGTTAAATACCCAACACGTAATAAATTACTCAAGTTAAGAGCATCTACTACTACACATAAATTCAGTTAATCAACGTTTTTTATTATTAGAAATATACGCGGTAGCATTATAGTAAATATACATGAATTATATTGTTTCTATTTGTTTTGTACATATGTTAGCATATCAAATGAATATACTAGAGGTGCGATCCATGAACTGTTAGTTTAAATAAATTGTATGTACTGTAATTCACAATTACATCTCTAGAATATACGAAAAATCGTGTTGCTTTTTTTAGAATAACATTTGGTCAAAAGATCTTAATAGTGGCTAGCACGACTCTTGCTTAATTAATTATAGAATAACTTCGTGATAGAATTTCTATAATATACGAATAAATTATATTAACCTTGTCCAATATCCAAGCGCGTAATGCTCTTAGACAAAGACAATTTTGAGCAAAATATTTCTGGTTAAATTAATAATGTTACTGAAACAAAGAATTGATGTGTTGAAATGTGAAAGTCCTTATTACACGTCACTAAATATATACGTGTGCTTAAGCTCTATTTCTTTAGTTAATATCCTTGATTAATTTAAAAGCGAATAGACTTTTGCGTAATTGTGTAAATGATTCTTGAAACAAGAATAATTTTGAACAGAAAATTCTTAAGCATTCCGAGTAATTATTTATTCTCTTACTATACCTTTTCAGTTTCTACGAAGAATGACCATTAATTTCTAAAATGGTTTACAAGAATTCCGTGAGAAATCCACGTATACAGTTTAAAAAATACAAATACACGCGTAGGAAGCGTCTTGTTAAGTTACTTTTATATTACCAATCAAATATCACGCGCATCACTTAAAATGTTTAAGAGGAAGATATAAACTACTGTATTTTTATAGTCTAACTATAAAAACTTTCGAAGAATTCCAATTTGGATTTCGTCTAACATGTTCTTAATAAAATATAAATTTTAGAATAAGTTTTGACCAAATATAAAAGCATTAATATATTATGTAACATCCTTTTTTCGTGAATAATACTTAAATTTATCCAATAACAATGCATAATTTCTATTTCTTTATCAGATATCATTCCGAAATTTGAACGTCTAAACTGCATCATTCTCTCAATAATAATGCATGAAACAAAGAATAAATCTTCTTAAATAGTCCTTGTTCTAATGTAGAATACACGTTATTTTCACAAAAACATTTTGCACAGCAAGTGGAAATATATATATAAGCTACATGCAAAAACCCTTAATGAACAACTATAAAACGAAGACATGGATGCTAGCAAAAAATTCATCATTGTTAATACTTCCTTTAAATTTTTAATTAATGATCTATTTAATGATCATGTCATGTTTGAAAAATTTCCAGTTGAAACAATTAAAGAAATTTTACAAACTAATAGATTTATTAGAAAGCTCTTTATAGATATGGTCCAGAAAAAATTTATTAAAATTCTTGATTATGATCCTCGAATCAGTTTTTTCACGCTACTTCGATATTGGGTTAAAAGTAACGAAAATTATAATAAATTCAGTAATAAAGTAAAAAATAAATATTTAAGTAGAGATGTTTATCATATTCTCGAAAGAATCACTCTAAAGAGTTCATTTAATTATTTCAAACATTACCTTTGTGGAATTGAAAAAAGCATACAAACAAAAAATGATCAAAATGCAGAAGTAATTTATTGTATTTAAATTACGTGGGATATGGATATTATGGTAAAAAATATTACCTATTAAGAAAATTTAGAAGAAATTTAAAAAGAGCGAATAGAAACATAAAGTCTAAAGAAAAATGCAAAAAAATAATCAGAGACTTAAACACAATTTTATTCAAAGAAAATTAGTTTTTATGTATTGGTTTTAAATATTTGTACTAAATAAATGTAAAGTTATCAAAATATTTAAACAAAATAAACTATATTTAGTAATGATAACAATTAAAATTGTTTTGTGAGAATACGTAGAATATATGCTGAAAGCACTTGGATAACCAAGTTGTAGTGCAGACAAAGTTGTTTTAAGTGAAGTTATTTTTTACATTGCTTCATATTTTTAAGTAATTATAAACGCACTAGAATTAAAGACCACAGACATATGTGATCACATAATAGTCATATAAAATGTGATTAATTGTTATTGTTTTTTATTTCAAATACAGATATTGTTAATTTCTATAAAGAAAAGTCACAATTTACAGACCCTGAATTTTTTTTTTTGAAATTCAGGCCAAAATTTAAAATAATGCTCAGTTTTGTTATTTTATTGCTAGTTTTTAATTTAACTATTTTTAATTACAAGAAGAAACCAGATTTAACTAATAAAGAAACTACAAAAGTTAATAAAATCATATAATTATAAAAAATAATTTTTTCTTGTACTCTATTTTGATTTCTTTCGAACTTAATTTGCTTATTTTCGATTTTGATTTGATTATTTTTAATTTTATGTATAATCTTTTCCTGTCTATTGAGTATTTTATTCATTTCAACTACCTTTTTTTCTATCTTATAAATCATTTCTTTTAAAGAATTATCTTTAAATATTTTAGACAAGAAATCAGAAATATTTTGACACAGACTCTGAAAACTCGTCAATAATAAATGGCAATCAGATGATTCAGCTCTTGCTTTAGCACCGCTCGAATAACCATTTTCTACTGATATAACATAAATTCTGATTGTTGTTTGCTTATCAAATCTTAATATAATGCTTTCAAATTATCAATGTCAACTACACTAGAAAGATCTTTGGATTAAAACAATAATAAGTAATGTTGATAATTGCCGAAAATATCTATGCCACCATCACCTTTTGATAACCTATAAAAAATAATAATAAATAAGGTAAGCAATTGTCATCATCATTGTCAAGAAAAATGAAGGAGCCAATTTAGTCATTTATCCATACACCCTATTCATCACAGACCCAAATGCATCTTTTCGGATAACAGATAAATAGAGAAAAACATTCACAAGTAATTATTACTTGGCTTTGTAACATCCTCTGTGGCCACAGTGTGCTTCTAGTTCTCTGTCTATCTTTTCATCCTAGTGGCAGCGTAACTTTAGATGTATAATAACTAAATGATTATTTAGTGATTTAATATCTCACCTCACCCTTTGGCAGTCAATCTTTAATTCATTTCTAAGGTATCTAAAAACTTTACATTCGAAATCATTACCTTTAGAATAAATAATATAATGCTTTATTATTGGTAAGAAAATTTCAAAATTTATTTTGCATCTGATATTTTATATATGTACTAGTTTTATAACTTAATATGCTATAGCTTTCTAGTATGAATATTTAAAGGCGTTAGATACTTTTTATTGACCTTTGTTTGCAAAAGTTTAGTACATATTTTATAATCGATTGATTAGTATTAGTTGTTTTATTTTATTGTTATTACTGTGTTTGATACCTTTTTTATATATAGTATTAAAAATTAACAATTTTAAATCAAAGTTACATTAAGCAAACATTATTTGTAGACAATTTACTTATAAGTAAATAAAATTATAACATTTTAAAAAATAATATAATTATTTAATGCTTGAATTAAACATAACAAGAGGGATAGATAACGGGTGCTGTTTCTTCATCAAAACAATGTGGTAGTTGATTAGGGCAGGAAAATTTAGACCCATCTGAACAAGTAATCTGATCGGGTGGATTGTTTTGAGGAGAACAATGACAACTTCCCAGTTGAAGACTATCAGGAACTTCGTTATGCCAGATTGGTAGGTTTTTATGCAGAAAGTTTTTGAAAAAAGTGCTAGTTTTATAAATAGCAAAAAAGTGTTATTTTACTATTTTTAATTATTAAGCAAGTTATTTTAGTAATATGTTCTAATAAAATAATTTATTACCAAGCGATTGTGTTAGAGTAGCTAAAGCTAACCAAAAAATAATAAGACAAAATACTTTTCATGACATGGTTGAAATCATAAAATTCTGATTAAAGATCGCACAGCAAAGCAAAACAACACTTACTTATAGAAGTTTACAACACAATTCTTTACCCGTTTTTGTTTCATACTAAAACTAAAACGTTTTATTTAAAAAACATTTTTCTAATAATGCACTATTGAAAAGTGATATTCATTCATGTTTTTCTGACTAACAATCTTTAGAATTATGATTGCAGTTCACATCTCTACGTGCAGATAAAAATATTAGCTACAAAAAAAACAATGAAAAAAAATAGTTCTATAAGGGGGCAATTTTAATAAATAAAAAAACGTATTTAATTATTATTCATTAATCTTATTCTTAACTTGTTTTAAATTCATTTTTTATATTAAAAACTGATTTATGATCCAATAAGTTTGTTTATAATATCCGGATGTGCGTTTTATGTCTACAGATAGAAAATTATTACTTAAATGAAATCACAATTTAGAAGTAGGAATTAATTGTTATCTAATACAATTTTATTTAAACATTTATTATTATTTATTAATACTAAACAAACTATCAACTCCCTATAATATATACTCCTGATCAAGACAAGAAACCTTTCCGCTTAAAAATATACACCTTAATGTTTAGATTTGTCTGAATTCATTGGGAGATTTGTAATTTCTATGTATGTTTAGTAGATTGGGTCGTATCACAAATATGATACTTTCTTTTATCATCAAAAATATAATGAATGGTTGTAATAATAAAATTTTATCAATTTATTTCAATTAAAATATGAATTTTCATTGTTATTTACAACTGTTGTTGGAATGCTAATATAAGACTACTAAAATTTAATAATTTTTTTTACACTAAATATAAATTAACTTAATAAAAAAAAAAAAAAAAAAAAGTTATAATTACCTTTGATTAACATTTTTTAATTATCTATTTAACAGAATTACAATTAGTTAAAAGAAGGGTATATTGTCTTAAATTTTTATTTAATTATCAGGGTGTGCCAGGGTAAAATCATATTTAATGAAATTTGAAAAGATATGATTAGTAAAGAGGGCTTTAAGTTTGTCTGGGACTCTCCTAAAGAATACTTTCTATTCTTTAAAAATTTTCAAAGCAAAGTGTTTAAATGCTTGGGTAAAAGTTTATTTGATTGTAAAGAAATGGTATCATTTTTTACTAACTGAGAGCGTTATTTCTTTGATCTATTTGCCTTTTCTAGTGTTAATTTCGAGTCTATGAACGACATCATTAATTCGTTTAATGATTAGTTAGCATTTGCAAAAGAAAATGATATTCTTAAAACCTTTGAATTATATAGAAAAACCCAAGATATCTTGGTTCTCTGCAAAAGTATTTTGAATACTGCGCCAGAGTTAGAAGATTATAAATATGAACAAGATTAAATTATGATATTAATTCGTTTGCTAATCGTCAATACAAATTTTTCAATTGCCAGTGTTTAAAAGAAATTTATTAATTTTTGTTTATGTATAAATTATGACTAGAGTTAATACCTCAATCCAGATATATTTTTTATATCCGGATTAATCCGGTTTTATCATAGTATAAATCCGGATTTATTTATATCCGGATATAAAAGCATATGTCACGCTATATCACATGACATAGTATATATCCGGATATATAAATCCGGATAGAGGTATTAACTCTAATTATGACTATTAACTTCAAATACAAATCGATCATAAGCATTACATTTGGAGGCAACAGTGGTATTACTAGAATGATCAATTCCCCACATCAGACCACTTTTATGTAATATCATGTCAAGTTTATTTTGCTCATTCTTATTAAGGTAAGAACCCGAAGCATTAAAATCACCCATTATAATTATCGGTTCATTGTCATTTGAACCAGATAAACTTCCAAAACAATATAATAAATTAAATAAAAAAGAAAAACTATCTTTTTTATTTATTCTCGCTTTAATATCTGCATATACATTATTCACCAATACGTTTATTTCTTCGTATGCATTATGTGGACGTGTATGACATCCAACAAGAGTAATTCTAATATGAGGTTTTTTTAAATTCTGAAATCGAGCGACATAAGGTACTCTAAAAAATTTTTTACTAAACTTTTTGCCAACTAAATAATCTTCTAGTATAACCAATAAATATACTTGACACATAAGAATATTGAAAAGAGGATGATTTTGATAATAAATTAACAAGTTCTTTGATCATTTCTTCAGGCAAACAATTTATAAGGCCGATTTATTTGATAACCCAGCTGACTTTTAATTTCTGCACTCATGATCTAAACTATGAATATGATACGTATTTAACGTTAAGCTTTTCTCTATCGCTATGACGTTCATTGGGTCTCAGTTCTTCGAGCCCACTCTTAGGCATAAAAAAGTATCAATGATTCTAAATATTTTGTAAAGATAATTTCTGTTATCTTTATTATTATATTTACTGTACTAGATGCTTATTTTATTAGAATTAGTCAAGTGAAAAGTACTAAAAAAAAAAGTACTTGTGTTCCAGAAGGAACGTGACTAATTAATCACGTTACTTATCACGATTTTCCTTCCCTAATTCCTCCGTCACAATATCGATAGTGTTTTTTTCCTCTATATACGAATATTGAACTAATCCGCACAAAATGCTCCTAAGCTCATCTCTTTGCTTTTCAGTTATTTCTATAGATTCTATTTTAAATTGATATTCTGTTTTCATTCTAAGAACTAAAATAAATGTAAAAATAACATATTCTTCAATAAGATTCATTGGATTACCAAATTTAAGTATTTTGGCCAGGTTCTTTGTGTTATCAATATCTTTTTCTTTAATTTTTTCTGTATCCTCTTCGAGTTGAGGTTCGTTACAAGAACTCATACTCGTATTAGTTTCTTCATTCGGGAGAATCTTAACGATTATATAACCCAAAAAGGTTACAAATGAATAGGGTGCGTAAGATAAAATGAAAAGTAAAAATAAATAAGCTAAAATAATATTGGAATAAAATGAAGAATCAAGTCGTCTTTTAAATTCTCTTATTCCATTTCCTATTAATTTTTTTATTTCGTATTCCTTCCTTATTTCCTAAAATTCTTACTTTATATTCATTCATATTATCATCATTTCCAATAAACTTACTCTACCATAATCATCTAGAGTAAATTTATTATCATCAATTAAATATAATCTTTTCGAAAAAATGTAATAATATGACAAAATTGTTATAACTGCATCTATTGTAGGTTTTAAAAATATAAGCCCCATAGTATAGATAATCATCTTTATGTGATCAGAAGATGTAGGAGGTTCTATAGTATAATTCAGCATTTTCTCAACTATTCGTTCAAAGAAAGATAATATTATATTATATAAACATAAGCAACCAATAATGATAATACTTATAGCTAATATAAAATCAATATGTTTACTGTTAATTAAAATCGAGATAACAGAAGTAATAATAACGTATAAAGATAATATAGCAATTATTATTACCCAATCTCTCTTTTCAGCGTTAATAAGATATTTGATACGATCTAAAAACCTTAAATAATCTTTGCACTTTTTAACTAGCTTATCATTTATGAGTTCATCAGATATTTGTAACAACGCAGGCATAAATACTTTATCAGATAGAAGTGGAATCTTGTTAACAGCTCCAACCAACGAAGTAACAGTATCCTTATTTTGTTGCCACTTTTGGGCAAGGATATTTAAAAGAGACAAAACTCCACCACTATCAAGAACACTCGATGTTATAATATGAACCGTATCGCTGATATTTTTTTTCCAAAAAATATAAAACAATGCTATTCCAAACAGAATAATAAATAATGATATTACGAATTTTATTAAATTTAAATTATTTCTTCTTTTTAAAAGTATTTCAATTTCCTCCCATTTTTCTTTCAGCAACATAATTGTGTACTTATCGCCTTGTTTATCTTCTTGACTCTTTGTTGTGGGGATCGTTGGTTCTGATTCTTGAATTTCTTGGTCACCGTTCACGTCCATTTTGAAGATTCTAACGAAAATTTGTTAAGTTTAATTTGATATCAAATATTATACAATAAGGCTATGAAAAATTAATTAATTGGTTTTCATAACCTGGCCGGGTCAAAATTTGAAAAAAAAAATTTTATATGTTTTACAGTAATAACCGGGTGGTAAATTTTAGGGGAAATTACATATCGGGGCCCAAATTTGAAAATAATTATAAATGAGTGCCTAACTTAAAAATATTTATTTATAAGGGCCTAATTTTTGAAAAAATTACAAATAAGGGCCCAAGTAATTTTGCGT